GGGACCTGGTGCAGTTGCGGGCAAAGCAGGCTTCTCAAGATGCGAATTGCCGAACACGCGGCAACAGTGCGGCGAAGCAATGTCAATTCTTAAGTTGGGGCTCATTCGACGAGACCCGGTCACACATTCAACTTTGATGAGGCCGAAGTTCTCGCAACAGGTGACAGTTGAGTGAGCCGACAATTACTTGAGTCATGGTTCACGAGCCTCCAATCCATCAACAAGTGCAACGGTTTGCCCAATCCATACTCGGTGCTGAGACTAAATTTAGCCAAATCAACTCGCTGCTCGGGGAACACACAGGCCACCACATCATCTTATGCCAACACCACAAGGCCAATAACACATGAACTATTGTCCTGATCTGCGGCTACCCGCAATATATTCTCAAGGTAATGGAACAAGCGTGAACTATAGCCCAACTTGCTTTCGCCTATTATTTTAAGGCACCAATTCAACCGCGACATCGGGCAGTAAGCTAGAGGATTTCCTTGAGTGAGAGGGAAATACTCCTCAAAACAAGCTTTCTACTTAGCAATACAAAAAAGACAGAGCTAATTTGCTTCAGGCCGAGCAGGGTCCCGCAAAAGCTAACCTTCTTCCTTTTTGGATGTAAGCGTTCGTGCAGCTTTTTAATCATGCAATCAACTTCACTTTGGTGACTGGCCCCAAATTCTCCCATGAAATATAGGCTTGACAAGCCAGACCGACAGGCATGTCCTGTGACTGTTATGTGTGCATTTAATTAACCTTACCCAACCTCGCGACTGCATTTGCATTTGACGCCTGAATAATCATGTTGGAGGACTGAGTGTTGGTTTATTTAAACATGGCCATTCAAATACCGACTCCCTGTTTCTGAATCTCGTATTAGCTGAGAAAACCAGCTTTCTTCATTTGTGCTAAACACATACACGACAGACTGCATTACCTCCAGGTGTCGAAGAATGGAGTCAACAGCACGCAACCCACTGACATTTCTGCCACACGGGAAATGCAATTTGAGACATCACAATGACTCAGCTGCGATGGGGTGCAAGAACGTGTGCTGCAGGATTCCAAGATTCCTCCAGTGTTGTTCAGAGTTTACCTGTCTTATCATCTCCAGTTGCCTAGAAGGCCCATTTGTGAGACGTACTAGCAACACGTCCCAAGGAGGGGACCTTAAACATTACGCGATAAGCGATAACAATAATTCGGGTCTTGCTAATTACTTTGTCCAGTTGAAAACTGGTTTCTCATCTCTTTTTGACATTAGATAAGCCATACATCCTGACATGTGGCCGACGGATGTTGTTTTTTCAATAGAAGGATAGCATGAGTCATATGGCATGACAAAAGAGAATAATGAAATGCCGTCCCCCTTTGCAAGATCAGGTAAAAATTCTTATTCTATCAAAATGGCGCAAATTTTATTGTGCTGGATTTAACAGTGGACTCAAACACGTTGGAGGGCAGTTCGGATAAAACCTTGGCGAGAGTTTCCACGACTATGTCCTCAGCACAACACCTCACCTCGGCATCTTCCAAGTCGTCCGTAGGCCTTTCTTTTAAAGAAGAAGAAGAAGCAATATCTGGAAAATCCTCTTCAGCACAAGTTATTTGTCATGGTCAGCCATGAATACCTTACCTGTCTCGTGCAAATTAGATTCTGTTTGAATAGAGGTCTCACTGACTTCTCGTGACATTGTAACGGCCTAAATTCATAAAAATCAAGCCTTTTGTAACTAATAAATGGGGCGCTCTACGTGAGGCGTAACTATTACAAAATTAAGAATTTGGATTTAAGTTGATTGGGATTGTGAAAATTGGGCGAAAAATTTGCTAGATGTAAAATGACAGGCAGCTCTCAGAGGGTCAAATAATTTCGGACGATCCTTCCCGAATATATTTTTAATTTTCTTAACTACACGACCTCTGCTCGTATTTAGAAACCGTTATTCAAATCGTAGTTTCTATGCAAGACAGTAGAAGTATTTAGAACTCAAATTGTGTTGATTTACCTTCAAATATCTTTTCATTTCTGGATCAACTTGAAGATTCAGAGCGCTGGGATGTATTTTAACTAAAATGAGGAAATACAAATTCACAATACTTCCAAAAGCAAAACCAATACCGGTTATGGAGAAGCAATTAAATAGGACAGCTAGGGGGTATTACATGTTTCGGACTGCATATCCACATGAAATGGGTATTCGCGAATAGATGCATAAGTTTGAGTTCCAGACGTTTGCATGAGTAAATATGAAAACTGGTTGAACATTGAAACGCTTTGCTTATTAGTTTGAGCTTCTTGGCTCGCACAGAAGCATATCTTCCGAGATAGTAGCAACACCAGAAATAGGCTACACTTATTGGAGATATAAGCCGATCCACAATCAATGAGGCAGGTTGAGGGTGACTACGGACGGCTATATATGCCTGTGTCGAATCGATACGTCGATCGTTTGAGTTACCTCCAGAGGATCGGGTTTCAGTAAATTCTCGGCTTCGAGGTTGAAATCATGACCCGATTCGTAGTTGCTGGCAGCTGCTTGCGGTAAATCACCGTCCATCACACTGCTGGCTTGTATTCACATACGCGCGATCCATGCATGGGTTCAGTCTGACGCATACAGTTGCAAGAAGAGTTTAGGCATCAGCTGCGACATACTAGCCCACGTTGCATGGGATTTATTCGGGCGTTAATTTTCTTGAATATGCTGAATTCGGTCACCTTACGCCCGTGTGCAACGTTAACAACTTGTCTCACAAACAATGCGTTTAGTCGCTTCTGATACTTCCTGGGGTATGTGTCCTCCGGATGGAACGAGGCTTAACTTATACATGCCTTCAGATAATCATTCTGCAGATATTAGTGGCGGAGCTATCAGGCATCTTGCACATTTGCCTCTGATCCCCTATAATGAGCCTGAATGCGTTTAAAGAGCATTCTCGTATAGTTTCGTTTGTGAGTTGCCGGATGATAACTGGTAAAGCTGAGTAGTTGTGTGATGTTTGTTGCGTTCCTGCAAACTGTCGTCTAAGTTCCATTGTTAGGAATGTGCTCAACGAGTATAGAAAGGAAAGGCAGTTGCTCCCCCTCTTCTTCGTCCCCCATGAGATTCCGTCGAGAGAGTTACGAAAGTTTTATGACATGTTTTTCCTGGCGATACCAAATGTGTCGTCAGCGTTACGACGCCAACTGACACTCTCATACTGGACAGAAGCGGTATTTATAGCTCCCTTTGTACCAGGTCTGCTAATAAACTGGATATCGATCAGTCCATTGGATTATCCCTGGTCTGCTAATAGCTAGTAACAAAAGGCAAGTGAGATGTCTTAACAAAAGTCGAATAGCTCCAGTAGGTGTTTAATTTTGAGTGGGCTGTGAGCCCCGTCGTGTGGGTTTTCAGGGCCCATGCACCAAAAGTCTTGTACTAGATTAGGCCGAATGAATGAAACCAACAAATTCACGTCAAAAGAAACCTCAATTTTCGTCTGATTAAATCCTATGACTTCGGATGTGTACGAGGAATTGAGAAATTGCTTAAACCGAGGTAGTCCGATTGTCTTGGAACAACTTCAATAGTGAGCGTATTCACTTTGCCAAGTCATATGGCAACCATTAGTCATCTAGTGGGACACTTGTCTTATGAATTTTTGGCTGACCATGGAATCGAGCCAGCGTAGTGTCAGATACTTTCATTTGGCGCCCCTTATTCCCGTTAAAATATTCTTTCACCGGGATTTTCTCGGGAGTTTATTTAGCTCATCTGTTGTTGCTTTGGTTGATGAATTCTGTGCTGGTCTATAACATTCTCTATCCTCAAAAAGAACTTCGTTTTTTAAATATAGTTTTTTTAAATATAGTTTTTTTTAAATTCATCCTGACTATTCCTCATCCCTTTTCATCGAACAGCATGACAATTTGATTTTCTCTCTTCATTTCCTTCATAACTTTTGAGTAACTCTGTGAAATACATCGGGTGGGTTTGTGCGTAATTGGTGAATAGATACACAGTTGTCAGACGAAAAGATTTTTTTCTCATCGGTTGTTTTATTTCGCCCTAGCGTGCTTTACAGAGCTGCAATGAACTAGACCGGCTGGGCGTCTGCAGTTTTAAAACATACTCCGCACCAGTACATTTATATGGGAAGGGGTAAAAGGTACAAAGTAAATATGTGGGTAATTACGTTCATACTTACAGACAAAAGGGAAAACGGGTATCCTGAGAGATTTATTACAAGGAATACGGTTGCGAAACTAATAAAACACTGCGGATAAGAAAAAAACTATTCCTCTGACGTCCCTTTTCAAGGGGATGCGGTAAGTGAACTCCTAAGAAGACGCCTTAACAAAGCCGTGTCATGAACCTTCCCAGCAGCGAAAGTTCGGGTTTTACTCTAAACCAACCCAGTGCCGCACGGCGAAGGTAAGGATAGGCTGCTAGCTCAGATGACTTCATTAACTCATCTACTCATTTATTTGATTCTGTGGAGCAAGTTACATCGGTCGCACGAGTTGACGCTTATCCAAAAGAGTACGGGAGCATCCCCCGGCATAGCTGAGCAAAGGTGAAGGCAGGAACATCAACAGCGCCATTCTAATCCACATGGTTAACTGAATGGCCGAGAAAATGCGAGGTTCAGGTAACTGAATAGAAGAAGGTAAAACGTTCTCTGGGGCCAGGGGTTTATTTGTCCGACGTTTCGAACTCTCCCGCGAGCTCCTTGTCAAGGAATGAAAAAATGTACAACTCACTATGTATTTAACTTGGTTCTGCCGGGAGTGGCCTCTGCCCTTGACCTCTGCCCTCGATCTGCTCGCGTAACGCGTGGTAGGCATCAGGAACCTCGATATGCCTGTTAATTGAGTCCGCGCGTGAATGCCATGCTTCCTGCAGCGGGCGTGAAGTTCGGTCGTCTG